TAAATAAAAAATTTATATAGATAATTTAGTTTAATTTCATTATGTTTAAGTTGCACTTTAATAAGAGTTTTTTTATTTTTTGTAGATCAGTATAAGAATATTAACAAATATTTGAAATAATACGTTGTTATCACTTGTTCTCGTTAGTTTGTGAAATATAAACTAACTTTCATAAGCATTTCTTGAATTTTATTATTTCATTTTAAAAATTTTTATCTTTCTTTGGTTAAATGTACTTTCGATTTTTCAAAAATAAAGGTTTTGTTACATTTATGATGTAAACTAGGTACATATATATTCATCTCGATTCGTACCGAAACTGATATCGAACCATCCCGAACCATACCGAACCGATGCGGAAATCACAACATAAAATTCCATACTGAACCAAAATATTTGGTACGGTATCGGTACGAGCTAAATACTGTAAGTTCGTGGGGACGCAGCGGAAATCACCTATTAAGAGCAATGCAAACAAACAATCTACTATGCTGCAGAGAAGACGCTGCATCACTGTCACAGTACGTGATGACGGACAGTGTGCTATAACACTTCTCTGTCACAAGCACGCACACAGAAGAAGATGACGCAGAGAGCGTTACAGCGCCTACTAGACAGAATGCTGTAACTATAAAAAGCGTAAACAATAACACCAGATATGTTTACGCAGTTTGGAGCAAATTCTCCTAGTCTGCGGGGCCCACGTCCGTGTTATAGCCCTCCACTAAATCACTAGATGCAAGTTACACCGGTACATAACAACATGATGAGACACACTTCTCCGAATTGGTATGACAAAACTTCTAATCTAGGATTTCTAACCCGAACTCTGTTCAGATCCGCTTTGGCTATCACATCTCCACTGAGATCACGAGGACAAACATGTTGGCAGCCCACTCGTTCAGCTCTAATTCATCTCCTGGACGTCGCGATCTGTTTGGCGTTGAAGATCTCCTCCTTCATGTAGATCGCAACCTTCTTCACGCATGGGAAGCTCCGGGACGCGACGGGAACGCTCTATATCATCGTATATTCTTTGTTTTCCTTCTCAATCGCTCCGAGTAATTCCAGGGACCTGCTGCGTTTTTATAGGCTCCTCTTAACACAATCCTAGTAGGAATAGGATAGTAGAAGTTGGCTTGGACTCTACTTCCTTAATCTTGATCCACAAGTAGCCTAAAGAGTTGGGATTCCTTAGCATGTACCGATGGAGTTATTATCATGTAATCACAATCCCAATAGGTCTCTAAATCAGATTGCAGCTTAAAATCCCGTGCTGAGACCTCTGATTCAGAACAGTGTGTTGCAGCATCGTGCTGTAGCATCTTCTGTGTCAACCTCGAAAACTGCAGCAACTCTAGAAACATAAACCTCTCCTAACAAATAGAGGTTTCTACCTAGTAAAACACCTAACAAATATGAGATTCTATTTTGCCAAAAGATTAGCCAACACCATGGAACTAATAAATACCGTATCATACCGTACCATGCTCACCCCTGGTATCTTTCAATTGTGGTTTGTTATAAGTTACAAAAGATCAAAGTTTGATCTCATTAAAGAATTAAGGCTCAATTGGAAATAGGCATGATTAAGATCACAATGCATGAAGTTTCTAGTTACACATCCATACTTGATCTGTGTCATTGATTATATTTATTAAGGTGATTATTGATGGATCTAGTTACGCTAAATTGTAACAAAGGTCTCCTTGGTTCCATATTGATATAAGAGATGGACTAGATTGACTAAAGGAGATGTATCTTTTCATAATATTAGCAAATCTATGTGCACTAGGGTTATCAAGTGTAATTGTCATTTGGGATAATATGTATATTGATACGTTACAAATTGTCATATTTTATTTGGTCATACTTTAGTTCTTTATAAAGAGAGAGGAGCCGCATCTCAAAGAGAGGGGGCTGGAAACGGAAAAAAACGGAAAAAAACAGAGCAGGGAACAACAGAGAGCAGCTTCCAGCGGCGGTGTCGACGGCATCCTGGAGCAGCGACTCAACAGCCTGCGGTTCTCCTCTTCCTCCAATTTCAGAGTTTAATTCTCCCCTTCTTCTTTAATTATGTCAAGTTTTACTATCAATCTTGTTGAATTTTACATTATGTTTGGCTAAACTCCATAGCTAGGGCAAGGATGAAACTTATATATTCTATTTGACTTTTACTCATGATTTATTTTTCCATATTGATCTTAAATGTTTATTGTCTATTTTTCCAATTGATTATTAGGGTTAATTTTTAGATGAGTTCAATCATGTCTTTCTCAGGCTTTGAATAATCCTGATAATTGTTTGACAAGTTAAAAGAGCAGATATTAGTTGTGATTTCTTGATGAGATACAATTAATGATTTGAAATTCTCTTGAAACTTTGAAAAATAACATATTTTAGAAATTGTTTTTTTAGAGCTTAATTGATATATCCTCCATGATAATGAGACTTGGTTGCGAGATTATCATGCGTATTAAGTTTGAAAAAAATAGTGATTGAGTGAAAATTAGATTTGAATATATAAGTGGATTCCAAGTCCTAGTTCTTTCTCATATTTGAAAACTTATTTTTAATCTCTTAATTTTTTTTTAGTAGTTAGAAAAATCTTTAGTTTTTGTTTAAATAAAGATTTCTTTAAAATTAGTCACTTTCATATTTAGTTGTTTTTTTTAAAATATTAAACTTTGTCCAACTAGATTAGAAATATTCAATTGAATCTAGAATAAAATTCTTCACATAATCAAGTCCCTGTGGGATCGACCTCGTATTTGCGTTGCTATACTTTCGTATGGTTCGTGCACTTGCGAGTAAATAAAATATCACAACATATATCACGAGTAGAAGATCGTTAGGTTATTTTAATAACCTAATATATGTGCGCTAACAAATTAAGATAATAATACTTGTGCTTATATTAATACTTATATTGGGTTAGTCTAGTGATCTCAATTTATAAAGTAGACCTAATTAAGCATCTTATCCGGTATGGCTTTGTAATGTGTAAAACTTAATAGTGTGAGGAAAAAAATTGGTATATAAGCTCTTGAGTTGAACTAACTAATACATTGGATTCAATCTTTTAATGTGGTTCAGCCCAAGTATCTTATTGCCCAATCCAGTTGTCCATACCCATCCTAAATTCTATCATGGTATCGGAGTCTTGTTGACTAAGAGGTCACGGGTTCGAAACTCAGCGCCACCCAGTTTTAATAAAATTAAAGTTTTACGTGCAAGGCTCGAAAATGATTACGCCTTCATGTGAGGGGGCGTGTTAGAATATAAATAATTCTTCCTGGGCCACAACCATAAGCTTGAGCTTTTGGTTGAGTTGGTTTATTGACAAACATCTTGAGTAGTACACCCGAACTCATCTCAATATCATCTTCTACTTGTTCGTTATGAGTATAACTAAAGCTACCAGCATTTTCTAACTTTTCATGCCATTTCCATTGCTTATGTATTAAATCAAAACCCTTGTGATTCAAATAAAATATTATATTCTTAACGCTATAAACCATAAAATGGTTATGACATAAGTTACAAAGGCAATATATCTTTTTCCGCTCTTTTGAATGTTTCCCTAAGAAACGAATAAATTCCTACAAACTAAAACTAAATCCAGGTCATGCACACGGCATATCAACCCAACTTCGATCCATCATATGAATTACTAGGTAACAAATAAACAACTGAAAAGGGTTAGATACAAAACAATGCACAACATAATTATCACTCATTTAACAATATACACATACGATACACATAATAAATACATGTAACACAATATTTCATTTCTTATGATGAAACAAAAATCTGGCAGCATTTCTTCATCATAAAAATGCTCCTTCTTTACTCTATCCTAACACATTCTTGAAACGCTACCCTCACTAGTAAATGTATTTCATTTTATGAGTTTTTTGAAAGAGGGGTTTTTTTTTGAAAATGTTGTGTTAATGTTCAAAGGATTGGTAAGATGAGGAAGGGAAAAATGAAAAGTTAATTCAATAAACTGAGAGAAAGTTTCCAAAATAATAATCCGTACTTTATATACCACAAAAAGAATGTCACAATTCACTATTCAAAAATCACAAGAACTTTTATTTATGTATATGTTTTTTCTATTATTTGATAAAATAAAATATCATCTCATTTTTTATTTTGAAGGACTTTTGATGTAGATTTTGAATATTTAAATTTTATTTTTTCAACGTTATATCATTTTTTAAGTAAGATGACATACAAAAATTTAAAACTTCTCTTCATTTTGAGTAATGTGACAACCATTTTGGGACGAAGAGAAACTTTAAAAGCAACTTTCATGTGGCTCCAATATTGAATATGAAATTTAATCAATTATACACCATTAAAATAGGTTTATAATTTATTTTTACGAAATTTAAAGAATTGTCTAAAAAATAGTGTCTAGTCAAAAATAAAAAATATGTGATATTTGGGGGTATGTTTCAATTGGGATGTGAAAGTGAAGAGTGCCTGAAATACTTCATCTTATGCAAGAAACTTGATCTAAAATTGAGGTTTTTTTCTAATGTATTTCCTTTGTCTGGGTATTTTTTTTTATCTAAATTGACATTTTATGAATTTTAAGGAAAATTTAGAAAACAATGTAATTGTCCATTTTACCTTTAATGAAAGTAAGTGAGGTATGTTAATTGAGATTAATGTGGAATATGTGAGGAAAATGAATGGAGTTATTACTATTGCGTCCCCTAAAACCTTTTCCATTTTGACTTTTGAAATGAAAAACTATAGAAGTTTGATCAAGGTAAAAATGACGGTAATTGTGTCTATTGCGTAGAAGGTAGTTAAGATAGGTTCGGTTAGATTTAAGAAAAGTAAAGGCAACTGTGCCTATTTAGCAAAAAATAAAATGTTTAATGAGACAAGCAAGATATAAAAGTTGAAAAGTTTAATTTTACGAGATGGAGGGAGTATACTTTAAATGTTATACAAATTAATGAGAATATCTTTTCTAGTTAAAAACAAATAGTAGTTTATTTTTGCAATCTCACAAGTCTAGTGATGAGAAACAATACATGGCACTACAAATTGAAAAAATTAAAATACACTAGATCTCAAATAAATAAAATCTCAACATGACTTATATATTCTAAGGGCAGAAGGTGATAACGTAATTGGTCTGACCACTGTTGCAGGTGAAAGTACTTGTCTTGTCATCATAAGCATAACTATACGCATTGGGACACAATCCTTTGAAAAATAAGGAATATTGTGTGGGAGGACATGTTCCCGACGACCCATGATCCCCCGTGCAACAATACTGGGGCTGTCCTAGTGCCAAACATGCACTCTTGCATCCCACCACTGCTCTATTTCCATCCCTCAATGCCAGCTCTGCTGGGCACTTCGCGTTCACGTCCACCGGGCAATCCGTCCGACGACAGTTTGGGTTGTCCGGCACCACAGAGACAGGGAGGTTGAATCCGTCCACCAAGCTAACGTCGTAGAAATCCTTGCCTTGGAAACCCCCTAGCGTGAATTCTACTAGAGTCGCCGGAGGAGTCGCTCCAGCACCATTGCACGCTATTTGGCCAGAGCCACAGTTGGCTGTTGTGCATAAGAACTTTCCTGTCTGGGCGCTACACTCTGTTCTTGCCCAAAAGCGGCCTGTCCATTGGGCGGGGATGTCGAATGACATGGATGCGCCATGTGCCAATTCGAACCCAGTCGGGGTTTGGGAACTGCCACCTCCTCCGGTAAGAGTAGCAGGCCAGATTGTGTACGGACAGTTGTTAACGACGGTGAATTTTGTGGATTTCACTTCTGAAATCATTTCAAAAATAAATTATTAGGAATTTTTAAATGGGAATTTACGTAAATAGCACTAAAACATAATGACTTTCTCTAAATGTTCGTCATCACTGGACATTATGAACATTATTAAGTGCTATTTGGGAAATAAAATAGTTTAAGTCCTATTCAGGGAAATGACTTAAGTTTTAGTGCTATTTAGTGCAAATATTTCATTTTTAAAAGTATTACTTCACTGTACCAAAATGGAGAAATATTTTTTCATTTTTAGAATTGTTCATATTTGGTCACCTAGGCTTTGTTTGGTAACAGCGTTTTCTATTAGCTTTAGCGTTTTGGATAATATTTTAATGGTGCAGATGAATTCAGAAAACGCTAACGCTAAAGGCTACCGTCGGATAGCTTTTTCAAAACGCTAACACTAATCTCTGACGCTGATGCCAAACGGGGCCCTAGTCCACGCCCCACGGCCATGTCGCGTGCCCACTTGGTCATCTAGCCCACTTTGTCAATTTTAGAAAAAAATGATAATGAGAAAAAGGAAGAAGAATACAGTAATATTTTGTTATTTTGTATAATTAAAATAAATTCTACTCTGCCCTTAAAGGTTCGATGTTAATGTTTTTACTAGTTGGAAAGCTAGAAAGTTTAGGTGTTTGTTGATTTTGTTCATAAGATTCTCTCATTGTCCTGGACCTAAATTCTAGACGTTTGGTGATTAATACTCATTATTTAGCTTGTTTCAAACATTATTTGTAATTTTTATTTATTTTAAACTATACTCCCTCCGTCCCAAAAAGAATGGGACGGTTTGACTTTTTTGGAAATTAAGGGAGATATATTTTGGTATTGACTTTCCAAAAATACCCTTGATGTGATGGGTAAAAGTAGGATGTGATGGGTAGATTATTAGGAAAAAGGTATGATGTGATAGGTAGGGTATGAAAAAGTAAGGGGTAAAAGTGGTTTTTTAATAGAAATGTAACGGACTTTATGGGACGCTGTTTTTTGTAAACGTAACAAACTTTTTGGGACGGGGGGAGTATTAAATTATGCAAAGTGAATAGAATTTTGACAAAAAAAATTACAACGGAGAGAATATATTATCATTTCTTATATTCTAGTGATGCAAAGTGAATACTCCCTCCGTCCCACTATATTTGTCCACTTTAATTTTTGCACACCATCCAATGCACTTCTTTAATCCATTTTATCTTGTAATTTGTATATTAAAAAATTATAGAAATTATATATTAATAATCTATATGTTAAGACAAATCAAACAAGATCACACATGACTATATTTAGGCTTACACATTGAGAGAATTTGATGAGTCAAAGTGCTTAAATGAACAGTTCCAAAAGTCAAAACTGGACGAATATAGCGGGACGGAGGTAGTATATATTATCATTTCTTATATTAACACTCAAATTCAGAAAAAGAAAAAAGGAAAAATAAAGTAAAGTTTCAACATACCAAGGAGGAAGGAGCAGGAGATGATGGCAAGGAGTAGTAGGGAAGGAGATAAAAAATCCATTTAGTTTTGTCTTTCTTTACTAAACTGATATGAATTACTGTATAAACCGTAAAGAATGAAAACAGATTAATTCGAGTGAACGACTTGGAGAATTATTTGAGGCTTTAAATAGAGAAATGGGAAATATGCTGCACCATTTTACCATGTTAAAATCTTTATATTTGTTTCCTAATTATTCATAAAACTCAATTTTATAGTAATTTTATTAAAAGGTAATTTTCTTAATGCTACGGTGCCACATGCTACTTTAATTAGGTATGATACTCCACATTAAAAATATCTCAGAAATGAAGGAAAAAATAAAAAGAATTTTAACTCTTAAATCTATCACTACTGTAATAGGAAACATGAATATATGTTAATACCATAGATGGTAAAACATAAAGGAACATATCGTAATTTTTTTAATATCATAAATAGTAACCCCATAATGTTTATATAGCATAATAGGAAATTTATTTTCGTTATGTAATTAATATCTTATTCTTTTAAATATAATAAATGTTATGCACATATTGTGTAAAACATAAAGGGAAATATAAATAAATGTTAGGTTCTTTTTATAAATCATACCGTTTAAAACATAAAAGGAAACATAAATGATAATTTAGAAAAAATTATAAAAACACATACTGTTTTGAATATCATAAATAGTGGGACATATCGTTTAAAACATAATAGGATACTTAAATAAATGTTAGAGTAATGATAGCATACCGTGTAAGTTAATGGTAGCGTAGTAACATACCGTGTAAAACATAATATCGTATAAATAAATCATAAAAAGAAACATAAATAAATGTTAAACAGCAAGGTGCCGTTGACATTGGTCTAGTGTAAAACAAAACAGGAAACATAAATGATAATTTAGCATTTAGCATTTAGCATACCATATTGTTTCATTTCCCTTTCTGATACCCGTGCAGAAGTTCCTCATAGATAGTTGGAACTTGATAAAGATGTCATGGAATGATAAAGAGATTGATCCATTGATGATAAGCTTTTTTGAATGATGTCCGGCTTTCAAATTCGGTTACCGACGACTAAATTGAGAATAATCATCTAGAGTCTAAAGAGGTTAAAATATGGAAGATAATGTTAGAGAAGGGCTGTTTGTAGAAGTCACATGTGATATATGACTTTAGATGAATATATACTTGCACTAGATGAGTGTGTGATTAACGCAGTTTGAAATCTAACAAAAGGGGCGTTTGATGCAATTTTTAAAGTTCAAGGAGAATCCATACAATTTTTGAAAGGTTCAAGGGTAACTGGCGCAAACACCCCTCAGAGATATGAATTCATTTTATTTTCTTCTTCTATAATCAAATAAATTGAATTGAACAGAATTTCATTCAAACATCATAAACCAAAATCAGAAGATCATTTTAGTACGAAGGGTGTACTTTGTTACAATTCTTCTTTTTTACTTCAATGTTGAGATTACTTCCTAGATATCAATTCTGTGTGCATTATTGTGCATTATGAGATCTACCCTTTCTTTCTGCCTTGAAGCTTCCTTTCTTTGATTGATTCTTTGATTTCTTTTAAGATGTTTTGATCGTTAAAGACTATTTAGCTTTATATTTTTATGAAAAAATTCATGATTTTTATAAATTTATTGTGCATGGTTTGTAGAATTGGCAACTTATTGGATGACTCTCGGATGAGTTGATATAACTGTTAAAATAAAGGTTCAACGCTAGAGAGGGGTGAATAGCGTTTAAAACAAAATCGCAGATAATTAAAAACGAGAGCGATAAAGTAAAGAGCGTAAGGAAGGAGCACACCGAATTTTATCCTCGTTCACCACAACGTGTGGCTAATCCAGCCTCCCGAGAGACTCTCTCGAGCTACACTAACTCCGTCAAGCTTAAAGGTGCTCAACAAACTGATACAACTTGAGAACCCGAGTCACACAAGCCTCAACGCCTTTGCTCGGCGATACCACACTCCAAGATTTCTCACGAAGGAACAAAAAGACTTCCTTCGAGTTTACAACAAGGGAACAACTTCCCTTATGTTGGACATGAATTCAAACTCCTTTATTATTATTCTGGAATATTGTTTGTTTTGATAAATGACAAACAAGATGATTAAATTCAACGATGATCGAAAATTCATTTTTCGTATCAAGAAAAGAAAAGAGGCGTATCAAGAAATTTACCGTGATAAAAATCAACGTTCTCCTCTACGCAGATTTTTGAAGTGAAGTGAAGACTCCGAAGACTGTTTATTTTTATTGAGTCTAGGAATTTTTGTAAGGATGACAATAATTTTTGCATAAACAAATTATTTTTGAGGGATAAAAATTATTATTTTCTGAACCAGTTGAAAAATCTTTTTTCCTCTGTCTAAAAATATTTTACTGAGTGAGTTTCAAAATAGTGTGTCAAAATCTCTTAAAATATTTTTTTAGGGATACACAAATTTTTCTTGGTAAGAAAAATATCTTTAAATACTTTTTCTTGTACATCGTTTGACGACACACAAAATATTTTTTGGACTCACTTTTACTCCCTTATTCAAATTCATTGAATAAGAGTCTCTTGATTGTGAGGAGCGTGCTACCTATTCCGTTTGTCTCAAACAAGGAACAAAGGCCAAATTAACTCCTCATCGCAACTTGGCTTGGGCCCTTTGTGTTTTGTGCATTATTTTCTTATTAATCGATTAACAGTCTTAAATTAATCGATTAGATCCAGTTCCTTAGCGCTGGATTTCTCAGGCCTTTTATTTAATCGATTTTTATTCTTCCTTTAATCGATTAGTGCTCACAGCGCCGTCTAATTGATTTTTCTATCCAATTTAATCAATTAAGTTGCACCCTCAGCTGAAGACTTTTTCCATCGAAATCGATTATACCTCAATGTTAATCGGTTGTTTTTATCTGGTGCCAGCTCTCAGCATTTTCCAGTGGCTCCAACGGTTCTATTTTTCTTCAGCCTATTTAATCCCTCATTCTCCTTCATTTTTAACACAACTCTTGCACTCTAATATCTCTATTGATTCATATTCAATTCTTGCTTCCATCTTCATCATCAAATATTATTTTGAGAGTTAGAAATATTTTCATTGAGTGTTAAAGATATTGTCATCCATAGAGCTTTAATCTTTCAAACACTACTTGCTCAATTGTGTGAGCTTTCATTCTTGTGTTGTAAACTCAATCTTTTGAGTGTTGCTAAGACTTGTGTGATTCAAGTCTTGTTGTTGTTAAGGCTTGTGTGACTCAAGTCTTGTTGTAAGAAGTTGAGAATTGTGTGATTCAAGATCTCGAGTTGTATTGGTTTCTCAAGCACCCGTTGAAGCTTGAAGTTTAGTAGAACCTTTGAGAGAGTCTCTCGGAGGACTGGACTAGCCACGAGGTGGTGAACCAGTATAAATCATGGTGTACTCCTTTCCCTTGCTCTTTACATTTTTCCTGCGATTTTTTTAATTATCACACACGCGATTTACGCACANCCCCCCCCCTCTAGAGTTGCACTTTTGTCTAACACCTTAAAGTGTATAGAAACACTTAAACACTCAGGAATAAAACTCTCAAAAAGAGTAGATATGAGTGAACTAGTAAACGCTCAAGAACACAACAATTTCTTCAAGAATTAGCTCTCACGAGATGTAAGCTCGGTGCTTCTTGAACGGTTTCTTCTCCTTCTTGTTTTTTGCATTTGGGCATTTTTGCTTGATATGCCCAATTTCTCCACACCCATAGCACTTGGGTGGTCCTCTATATTTCTTGCTCTTTTGTTCATACTCCTTTCGCATGAACTTGTGAAATTTTTTTGATAACGAGCCCAAACTCGTTGTCTTCATCACTTGATTCCTCCATGGCGGGTTCTTGGGAAGCCTTGAGTGCAATTCCCTTCTTCTTTTGTTCTCCTAAAGAGGGGAAAAGTATGGTAGACTCATAGGTTTTGAGGTTACCTCTAAGCCCGTCGATGGTGACGTTGGTGATGCCGGTGGACTCTTGGATGGCATCGGCTTTGGAGCGCCATTTCGGTGTGAGACTCCGCAGGATTTTTCTCACAAGTTCATTGTCCGTGTACGTCTTTTTGAGAGCGTGGAGATCATTGACGATTTTTGAGAATCGTTCAAACATCTCATCGATTTTCTCATTCTCCTTCATACGAAACAATTCATATTCATGGGTTAGAAAATCTATTTTAGCTTCTCGGACTTGATCCGTACCTTCATAGGTGATTTCTAGCTTGTCCCACATTTCCTTGGTGGTGGAACAACAAGAAATCTTCCGGTAGTCATCCGGGTTTACGGCACAATAGATGATGTTGATGGCCTTTGCATTGTTCTCCACTTTCTTGATGTCTTGCGCATCATACTCATCCTCGGTTTTGGGGACATTGGTTTCCCCAACCTTCTTCATGGGCACATCTTTGCCGTTTTTGATGATTCTCCATAGGAGAAAGTTGGTGGATTGGATGTAAATCCTCATCCGCTCCTTCCAATAAGTGTAGTTCGTTCCATCAAACAACGGAGGCCTCGTGGTGGATTGCCCTTCACCTAAACCTGCGTATAAGTTTTGAGTAGAAGCCATTGATCGTTTCTCTCAAACGGTTAAGTCTTTCAGAGAGTAAGGCTCTGAAACCAATTGTTAGAATAAAGGTCCAACGCTAGAGGGCGAGGTGAATAGTGTTTAAAACAAAATCGCAGATAATTAAAAACGAGAGCGATAAAGTAAAGAGCGTAAGGAATGAGCACACCGAAATTTATCCTGGTTCACCACAACGTGTGGCTAATCCAGCCTCCCGAGAGACTCTCTCGAGCTACACTAACTCCGTCAAGCTTAAAGGTGCTCAACAAACCGATACAACTTGAGAACCCGAGTCACACGAGCCTCAACGCCTTTGCTTGGAGATACCACACTCCTAAACTTCTCACGAAGGAACAAAAAGACTTCTTCAAGTTTACAACAAGGGAACAACCTCCCTTAAAGTGTATAGAAACACTTAAACACTCAGGAATAAAACTCTCAAAAAGAGTAGATATAAGTGAACTAGTAAACGCTCAAGAACACGACAATTTCTTCAGGAATTGGCTCTCAAATAACTAAGAAAATAAGAGAATGCTTATGCAATGAAAGTGTATTGAAATGGTGAATAATTTTGTGTAAAATGAGAAGATTTGAGTGCCGTTTTATAGGCTAAAATGGGATAAACCTGTTGCAAACATTTCCAACAGGAAGAAGACAAATTTTTCAGAGACACGGGGTAATAGTCGATTGTCAAAGCTTGATAATCGATTACAAAAAGATTCCATGTCCAAAAATTTAAAATTCTATCCGTTGGAGGGCAACGGTCACACTGATAGTCGATTGTCAAGTACTGCCATTCGACTATCAATCCTCTCTGAAGTTTCTGGGTTTGAAGAAAAACGCAAACAATCAATTGACAATAAGTGTCAGTCGATTATTGGATGGTTCTGAACTTGAGGTTCAAAACTGCAGCAGCCAATATTCGAATGTCATTTACTGACAGTCGATTATCAGCTCGGCTAAAACCATCCTGGCGAGAAACTTAACCCGAAAAGCCGAGGTCCAAAAACGAAGTGTTCCCAAAAGTAAAAACCAAGTTTGAAAAACATTGTATATGGTATAAAATAGTGAAACCAAGACTTGTTTGATAAAAACCATGTCTTCGAGGTCGTTTACCACGTGTGTACGGTTTTGATTGTTTTTCACGTGTTAGACCTATTGACCAAGATACAAAAGTGGTTTTTATAAAATAATTATTTGGGAACCTTTTAAATATGCCCAGAGGTAAAAACAAGGTTTAAAATATTGAAAACCACCAAGTTGGTTTGGATGCCAAAAACCGAACGCCGAAACCCCAAATGCCGGACGCCGATGTCGAACGCCGAACGCCAACCGAGGTGGTTTTTTGTCTGGGCAAGGACAAGGGATTTTAACAAATTAAAACTTTATTAAACGTTTATTTTGATGCACAAAAATGTTTTATGATTTTGTAAAATTATTTTTACTCTTTGAGAACCGAGACTTGAATTGATGGTCGGTTTCGGTCTAGTCTGATCTGATCTAATATGAATTTGATTGAAATTAAAATTAATATTTTTATTATAGTAGTTATAATAATAATAATAATAATAATATAAATATTAATAATAATAGTAATAATAAAAATAAAATTATAATAATACTAATATTAAGAATAATAATAATAATAGTAATAATAATAATAATAAATATAATAATAATACTAATAATCATAGTAATAATAATTATAATAATAGAAATAATAATAATAATAGTAATAGCAATAATAATACTAGTAACAATGATAATAATAATAATAATAGTAATAATTATAATAACAATAAAAATAATAATTATAGTCATAATAGTAATAGTAATAGTAATAGTATTAATAATAATAATAATAGTAAGAGTAACAATAATAATAGTAATAATAATAATAGTAATGATAATAATAGTAATAATAAATATAATAATAATAATAATGATAATAATAATAATAGTAGTAATAATAGTAATAATAACAATAATAATATTATTGATATGAATAGTAAAAAGAATAATAACAATAGTAATGAACGTACTAATAATAATTATAATCATAATATAATAGTAATAGTAATAATAATACTAATAAAAGTGGTAATAATAGTAATAATAATAAATAATAATAATAATTTTGTTTAGATCCAATCTAACTTGATCTGATTTGCTCTATTCTGATTGTATCTGATCTGATCAAATTGGATGTGATCTGATTTTAATAAGAATAAGTAATAAGCAGAAAAAATAAGTTGAACACAACCCTACCTTAATGTGTCTAAAATTTGTGTCTTGCCATGTGGATATTAATTAGCCTTGCTCTAAACTTTCTATTTGTTTCCGCCTTCCCTATCTTCCGCATGCGGTACGACCTTCTTCCCCTTCCAGAACGGGGAGTAATAAGAGCATTGGGAGCGGCAAGGCAAAACCTTTCCACTCCATGCCACATCAGATTTTGTAAGGAATTAGGCTAGCCAAGCCGTGTCACCCCTCTTTGTGAGGCATCACCCAGGCAATCTAGCTCCTTTCTTTGTTTCAGTTGTATTCTTCAATTTGATCCTCTTTTTTCTCTCTTTTTTCAGCTCTTTCCTTTGTGAAGTTTGCTCTTGGCCAGCGATAAGGTTTTTCGTTTTCTTTTACCTGAACGAGCAATTCAGTTAAAGAGTTAAGATTAGAGAATGGCGAACTGTTCAACTCAAAGTTCGTCAGTTGCTCCGCGAAGATGGATGATCAACATCAAATTTTCCTGTAATTGTTATGTGAATTAGAAGGTACTGAATCTGGAATTTAAATTTTCAATCAAGTTGTGATGTTGGCATGAGGATTAATTCTTTGATGCATTGTGTGACAATTAAAATTGTAACTGTAACACCCCGCCCGAGTGACCCGAGACACCCAGAGCGGAGTACTAGCAATACCGGGTTTACCTTGTGAAATAATATTTTTTTTAAAAATAGATTCTCATTTTAATAACCAAGATGTTTTTAAAATATTTGAGTACACATAAAATTATTATAAAATTGAATATAAAACACAATTTATGATTCAAGCCCAAACCAAAGTAAAATAAGTCCAAAGATTTATTCATTATCAAATACTAATTTAAGAAAAAAACGATGCTTGACTTGAAACGGCTCCACGTCTATGCCTTCCTTCCTTAGCAGTTGTTTCCTTTGTTAGTACCTGCGTGTAGTTAAACACTACATGCTCAACATAAAGTTGAGTGGCAAAGAACCAGTAGACATATATAACATGTACATATATTTTGGCCATTTTAAGATATTCAATTTAAAAGCTTTTTCCTTAATTAAAATCATTGAGGAAAAAAATCTCACTTTGAACAGTTACTTGGGGACATTTAGAAAACTCTTGACCTACTAGGTTAACCACAGATTAGAAACTAAGTCGTGACTAGGTTGGAACCCCGCACTAGTCGATACATAGTTTTACTTCAGATACCTCCTCGTGACCTCGGGTCCAGTAATCAGAAGTGAACCCTAGATCAGACCCACGGGGTCATTGTCAGATTCTTGTGCACATGTTGTGGTATGATTATTTGTAGGCTCATCCACTTGGACACATACGATCCGGCCTTATAGATTGTGGTTTTATTCACTTAGTAAAACATGACAATACCTGGTTAGGGTATGTCGTACTGTTAACTATAAGATTATACTTCATCCACTAATTGTTGGGTTAACCCTACAAGGGTCGTTTCAATAAATCACTTTTTGATATCTTTCAATGACCGTCGTTACAAAACCCTTAAACGGTTTTATGTCCCCTTTTAAAACATCATATTATTTCAAAACGAATAAATCATGCATCATTAGGACATTGGAAGTGTGTAAATTCACACACATATATTCATTGGGCAATTATACAAAAATTATTATTTTTTGTTATACTACGGGGTACATATTTTTTTTAGAGAATTGACATACTGAATTATTAATTTAATTATGTGTGCCTTCGGCCTCCTAAAAAAATCAATAATAAATAACAAATTATAAAACAAGAAGTATGTACATTCTTTTTAACACACATTCCGTATATCATTGTCAAAAATAAAGAGTTATTAGGGTCTGATTCTAAACTTCGTCTTTAGTGGGGAAAAAATGTTTACCTAATAATTTCTTTTAGAACAATTGCTCCTGAGTGCTCGGAAATAGGGGAACGAAAAAAAATGTTATTCACATACAACTAAACTTTACATACTCGTTTACAGAAAACAAAAAAAAACAAGAACATATTTCCTTTGATTTGTTTTTTGTATATGCGTGCATTATATTGACTATACTGGTAACCAAATTTATATGTAAATACGTAGTATTACTGGTTTATTTCTATTTTACTTAATTTCAATACATTCTTATTATAAAATAAAAATGCACAAAAATACATTAACATGAGATATATATATATATATATGGCTAAAGATTAGAGTCAACGGGCACACACACCTTCAATATTGTTAACGTGAAATGTAATTTTGACGATACGCCGACCTCACCGCCCCGCTACCCCCTTCAAGCTATAGCCTCTCCACCACCCTCACCGAAAAAGTACCCTAAGCTACCCACCTTAGGCCCTTATTTATAGGTGGAGGGAAGGGGTAATGGATGGTCACAATATTATAATAATAATAATAATAATAATAATAATAATAATAATTTATATTTATTTATTTTCACCTCATTAAATGTGATAATTGAATGGAGGAGTTACAAAACTCATTTGTTCCTTTGGCTTGGCGTGAGTAACAAAGGGAAGATTAATAATCTTTCTCTGTTTGTTTAGTATTAGGTGTCTGATTTTTACTTTTCAGGTGCCATGTATTTTGAGAAAAAATATAAAACTTATACCGTTGAGTTCCATTTTTCACACATCATTTCAAGGCAAATTATATCGTACACCCAGTTGTACCTAATTTTAGGTACAACCGGCTAAATGAAGAAGGAATGAATTGCCGGAATTAGTGTCGCTCCTCCATTTGCCGGGTCGGGCCACCGAAGACGAAAGAAGAGCAACGAAGACGGAAGACGATGGAGCAGCGAAGACGGAAGATGATGGAGCAATGAAGATGACGAGGAGCAACAAT